AATATTTTTGACAAACGGTCCCAGTGCCCATGGCTGAATTATACACTCGGCCGGAAACTGCGCCCTGTGTCCCTTACAAAAAAAGGGGGCAGCCACGTTGGAATGATCCAGGCGCTCCGGACCGGCCCATTCCAGGGCCGTGCAACAAGACCAAGCAATTCAAACGCTTATGAGCTCAGCACAAAAACCAGTGAAACCACGAAAGAGAAAAGCAACCATCCAAAGCTGCCACCACTCCCAGGGCCTGCGAAACCGCTCTGCCACACCCGCGGCAGAGGTCTGTGCCCACAGCTGCCCAACTGCAAACATGGACCCCGCAAAACCCACCCACCTCTTCGCAATTCAGGGCAGACTGTGCCGCTGCCTGCCCTCACCATTAGAGCTCAGTACAAAAACCAATGAAACCACAAAAGAGAAAACCAACCAACCATCCAAAGCTGTCACGACTCCCTGCGAAACCGCTCTGCCACACCCGCGGCAGAGGTCTGTGTCCACAGCCGCCCAACTGCAAAAATGCTGGACACAAAGCGTTGAGGTTCAGTCAAGTCGAAATGCCACGGTTTTTTCATTTGGCTGGTCGTATACAAGGCACAACTTGCAGAAGTACTGGTGGTTTAAACATGCTACTGCAAGCCTATATGAGGAATGCATTACCTCAACACTTAGTGTCCAGCAATCGGCAGAGATGTCCGAATTGCTGCACTTTGTGCCGGGAGGCTCACAAGAGAGTTTTCCTTCGGTCTGGAAGCCTCGAGTGACTTCATAGAGGTGCCACCCGTCATTCGCCCAGCACCTTCGTAGGAGCCTGGATTAGGCGCTAGCTTCTTATAGGCAGCAATCCATAGATTTATGTCTTTCATGAGACTGCTGAATAGGCCAGTGGCCCGGCCTGGGGTGCTCGTACAAATTCAGTGAAGTCAAAATGCCACGTTTTTTTCATTTGGCTGGTAGTATACAAGGCACAACTTGCTGAAGTACTGGTGGTTTAAACCTGCTACTGCAAGCCTACAGGAATGCACCTTTTTTTTTTTTTTTTTAAGCCCAGGGTGTTGTAGAGGCCAAGGAATGCACTTCTACTTATGAGGAATGCATTTCGCAACTTCTGGCCCTTACCCTACCAAATCCAGAAGGCTGCCCATCCCCCACTTCATAACACCTTTGCCAAACTTATTGTCTAGAACATAAAACATGCAACCCGAATGACTGCGTCCCCGCATCAAACGCGGTATAACAGTTTGTACTTGCACCTCAAGAAGGGGAAAGTTTCGGATAGATGGAAGGGTCGCTGGATTACTCGATGTTTATGAATCCCGCTGATCAGGAAGAAGGGAGAAATGGGTCAAGGGACAGCATCATAAGGAATCCCGCTGACTAGAGAGAGGTGGCCTTGTACTGGAGTGGTGTGAGGAAGGAGAAAGACACAGTGTATATGAGTTCTGACAGAGAACGATCCGCGCCCATAACCAAGAAAAGATGGTGATCACAAGAAAAAGGGAGTGCCACTTGCGAAGATGGAAGGGTGTCAGGAGGTCTTTTTTGGGGGGAAAACTACGCAAGAGTTAACAAAAAATGAGTTATAATTGCACTACGGGCCAAGATACAGTTTCAAATCGCAGTTGGGACAATGTATACAACCCAGCTTTCTGGCCAGGTAGGGTGCCCGAAGTGCAATTGCGAACTGTATCTTGCCCTACTACTACTGCAGTTACCCCCTTTTTTTTTTTTTTTAAACGACATTTCTGCGGCAGGCCTCTATCCTGGGGGGTGGTGTGAGAGTAAGACGATTGTGGGGAGGAAGAGAAGAGAGAGATGGACGGAACATGACGACGTGTTGGAAACGTGGCAGGTGACTTGGATGCGAATGTGTGCTTGGGGGGCAATGGCACCAAGTTTTTTTTGTTTTTTTTTTTAAACGCCCCCCAGGTGATAGAGGTGCTGATAAGAGCAGCCACCGCTACCACCCGAGAAGAGGCTCCATCTATTGGTGGGGAGCATCACCTGCTGGAAAGCGGGTCCAGCGTCTCATATACAAATTATGATCCGGAAAACAGTTTAGAGGATCCTTGCCAGCATGTTCATGGGTGTGACCAGCAGGAATTTCAAAGTGAGAAGGTGAGTAATCACGGCCGCAGTGAAACTGGTGGCAATATGCATACGAGTGACCACAAGATAAAGGAGGAGGAGAGAGTGGTTGATGAAATAAGAGTAGGAGGGAAGGTCATCAACAATGTAATCAAGAAGGTTATCATGATCAGGGTTATCAGCGGTAAGGAGAATGACAATATAGGTGATCCTCAAGAATGCAATTAGCAGATGGACGTAGGGAAAATCGATGATGATATTACAGATTCTGAAGCTGGCCATATAGACTATTGTGACACGCGGTTTAATTTTCATACTTTAGCTTTTTTATGCTATATCTAGCCTTCTGGTTTTCTGGCTTTGTGGTAGCTTCTAGTTTTTGTACACACCTGGGACGGAGGAGTTCAGGGATGGTCGAACCTGGACTGATTTCCGCAGAGTTGCTCTGTTCTGTGCCCCTGGTTTGCCGATGCCAGAACGACGCTGGCCGGAGCTGGGGCTTTGCCCTGTAACCTGCAATTTGCAGGAGCGTGAGGTCTCGTAGAGAGATCTGGATTTTGCCGAGGGAGGAAGGCATTTCAGTGGCGAACCGGGGGGGCTGCTAGGTGGCGAGAAGAGAATAGCTATGGGCGACGTTGGTGCGGGTGGTATTGTCTCTGAGTTATTAAACTCCTGGGTTAGGAAGCCAGATTAGCAGATATAGCATAGTTTACTACAGCAGCATTAAAAAAAAAAAAAAAAAAAAAGACTATTGTGACAAGAAGAATGACTATTCCAATAGGTGATAAAATTTAACGAGGAAAAGAGTGACGCGAATATGGCAGCAAAGAGTATGGTCATACTAATCAGGGAAAGAAAAGAAGGATAATGAAACTGAAGAATTTCAATATGTATTATACTGCTGCCGTCAGAAGAGAGATGATGATAAACAGGGGATTAAAGAGGAAAGGGACAAAGAGGTTGAAGATTCTGGCGGCAAAAACTGCAGTGAATATGTAAGGGTAAAGACACTGCTAAACTCGAATGTACTCTAGAGACAAATCACCCTATTCTTTTCACGGGGAACTGCAACCTGATGACGCTCAGGTTGACGGATTTGAGGGCAGCGTGGGATATCAAGACAAAGGGTGGGTTGATGAGTTATTTCAAAACCGTCAGGTGAGGCGGCGAGATTAGAAAGTCCCATGGTTTACA